TTGCGTCATTTTTTTTTCTATTTTAGAAATTGCGTCATTGTTGCTTTTTTTAGAAATTGCGTCATTTTTTTTATTTTTAGAAATTTCGTCATTTTTGTTCTATTTTTGAAATTGCGTCATTGTTTCTATTTTTAGAAATTGCGTCATTGTTTCTATTTTTAAGAAATTGCGTCATGTTTTTCTATTTTTAGAAATTGCGTCATGTTTTTCTATTTTTAGAAATTGCGTCATTTTTTTCTATTTTTAGAAATTGCGTCATGTTTTTCTATTTTTAGAAATTGCGTCATTTTTTTCTATTTTTAGAAATTGCTTCATTTTTTTTCTATTTTTAGAAATTGCGTCATGTTTTTCTATTTTTAGAAATTGCGTCATTGTTGCTATTTTTAGAATTTGCGTCATTTTTTCCTATTTTTAGAAATTGCGTCATTTTTTCTATTTTTAGAAATTGTGTCATTGTTGCTATTTTTAGAAATTGCGTCATTTTTGTTCTATTTTTAGAAATTGCGTCATTGTTTCTATTTTTAGAAATTGCGTCATTGTTTCTATTTTTAGAAATTGCGTCATTGTTTCTATTTTTAGAATGCGTCATGTTTTTCTATTTTTAGAAATTGCGTCATTTTTTTTCTATTTTTAGAAATTGCGTCATGTTTTTCTATTTTTAGAAATTGCGTCATTTTTTTCTATTTTTAGAAATTGCTTCATTTTTTTTCTATTTTTAGAAATTGCGTCATGTTTTTCTATTTATAGAAATTGCGTCATTGTTGCTATTTTTAGAATTTGCGTCATTTTTTCCTATTTTTAGAAATTGCTTCATTTTTTCTATTTTTAGAAATTGTGTCATTGTTGCTATTTTTAGAAATTGCGTCATTTTTGTTCTATTTTTAGAAATTGTGTCATTTTTTCTATTTTTAGAAATTGCGTCATTGTTGCTATTTTTAGCAATTGCGTCATTTTTTTCTATTTTTAGAAATTGCGTCATTTTTTTTCTATTTTTAGAAATTGCGTCATTGTTGCTATTTTTAGTAATTGCGTCATTTTTTTCTATTTTTAGAAATTGCGTCATTGTTGCTATTTTTAGAAATTGTGTCATTTTTTTTCCATTTTTAGAAATTGCGTCATTGTTTCTATTTTTAGAAATTGCGTCATTTTTTTCTATTTTTAGAAATTGCGTCATTTTTTCTATTTTTAGAAATTGCGTACTGTTGCTATTTTTAGAAATATGCTTAATGTTTCTATTCATATATATACAAAATATATAAACAAAACTAATGTGACAAGACAGACCAACTAAATTTATAAAAAGGAAACATCAATATATGTTCAAACCTTTCTATGTTTGCGTTTAGAAAAAGTAAAAAGTCGAGCGTTGCCCCCGCCCGGCGGTGGCTCTTGTTAAAAATGCTTTGGTCTCTTGTCAGTTAATCTTTGTTTTCATTTGGAAATTGTTCGGTGCCCTAACATTTTTAGTTAAAACATTGATTCAACACTTAAGCCCATCGTCGGTAAATCTTTTTTTTATTTTGGAAATTGTTCGGTGCCCGAACATTTTGAATGAAAACTTGTATTTAATGCTTCGGTCTATTGTCAGTAAATCTTTGTTTTAATTTGGAAATTGTTCGGTGCCCTAACATTTTTAGTTAAAACATTGATTCAACACTTAAGCCCATCGTCAGTAAATCTTTTTTTTATTTTGGAAATTGTTCGGTGCCCGAACATTTTGAATGAAAACTTGTATTTAATGCTTCGGTCTATTGTCAGTTAATCTTTGTTTTATTTTGGAAATTGTTCGGTGCCCGAACATTTTTAGTTAAAACATTGATTTAACACTTAAGTCTATCGTCGGTAAATATTTTTTTAATTTGTAAATTGTTCGGTGCCCGAACATTTTGAATGAAAACTTGTATTTAATGCTTCGGTCTATTGTCAGTTAATCTTTGTTTTCATTTGGAAATTGTTCGGTGCCCGAACATTTTTAGTTAAAACATTGATTTAACACTTAAGTCTATCGTCGGTAAATATTTTTTTAATTTGTAAATTGTTCGGTGCCCTAACATTTTGAAAGGAAACTTGTATTTAATGCTTCGGTCTTTTGTCAGTTAATCTTTTCTATAATTTGGAAATTGTTCGGTGCCCTAACATTTTCAGTTAAAACATTGATTTAACACTTATTATAAGTCCATTTTCAGTAAAAAAAAAATTTAATTTGTAAATTGTTCGGTGCCCGAACATTTTGAATGAAAACTTGTATTTAATGCTTCGGTCTATTGTCAGTAAATCATCGTTTTAATTTGGAAATTGTTCGGTGCCCTAACATTTTTAGTTAAAACATTGACTTAACACTTGCGTCCATCTTTAGTAAATCTTTTTTTAATTTGCAAAATGTTCAGTGCCCTAACATTTTGAATGAAATCTTAATGCTTCGGTTTATTGTCAGTTAATCTTTGTTTTAATTTGGAAATTGTTCGGTGCCCTAACATTTTTAGTTAAAACTTTGATTTGATGATTTAGTCTGGTCAATGAAGTAATTCATTTATTTTTCATTTCACAAAATGTTCGGGCACCGAACATTATGTTGTAGCAGAATAATTGTGGCCAAAAAGTGTTAGATATATAAGAAGTTAATTTAGAAATGTGAATTGTGTATGTAAATATTTGATCTGTTAATAAAAATGCTTTTGATATTTCAATGATTTTAATAAAGAATTGTCCATTTATATAAATTTGCCTTGATTTTTATGTACCAGTTTAACCACTAAAATGACCAAAAGAGCCATAATAAACAGGAATGATTGGACATTCCTCTTTTATATTGTACACTGTTCGATATTAATTCTTTTATATTCACTTCTTCGCTGTCAGTTTTACAGGACGTCAGACTTATTTCCGAATTATATGCAAAACCGTACAATACCTTTTTTCGGTGTCGCAAAAACGATACAAGTATATGATAAAAGGACATTATGCAATGACTCTTTGAACAAACCCTTTATAACGACCCCTTATGTCTTTATGTAATTAACCCTTCAAACATTGAAACCCTTTAACTCCTGGCGCCGGGCGATTGTAACCGTCCAAATATGTAGTAACAATATGTCAGACTTATTTCCGAATTATATGCAAAACCGTACAATACCTTTTTTCGGTGTCGCAAAAACGATACAAGTATATGATAAAAGGACATTATGCAATGACTCTTTGAACAAACCCTTTATAACGACCCCTTATGTCTTTATGTAATTAACCCTTCAAACATTGAAACCCTTTAACTCCTGGCGCCGGGCGATTGTAACCGTCCAAATATGTAGTAACAATATAAAACATTTCTGGTTCAAAGTTGGCAAGTTAAATAAAAATGATTACAAGGTTCACAATCATTTCAAAAAATCTACTTCAAACAATAATATTGTGGTTTTGTTCAATTCATAATTAACAATTTATGCCTGTAATAATCCAAGTTATTAAACATTATATCAAATGAAGCTTTACTGAGCCCCAAATTTCTAAAAAGATGTCGGTATTACATATTCATCAACAGAAAATAAAGAATCTGGTTAAAACTCAACTTAAAATCGGTATTAAGTGCGATTCCTTGACCAACTTAAGCTAAAAGAGATTATGTGATAGTAGTTGTTGTTGTTGTTGTTGTGTTTTTTTGTATTTTTGGTGTATTTTTCTTTAAAGCAGCACGTCCCCAGATTTATGTTAATTTTCATAAAAAATTTAGATATGTTATAAAACGTTGAATATTGTGAGGTGAACAAATAATAAGAGGATATGTTTTCGTTTGAGTGAAATATGTAATATATTTTCACGAAACATGATCAAAATATGTGGCATTTTATCATGCTGAGTGAAAGTAAATACTAAATTTCACTAAAAAATAACCTTTTAATTTAAATCTAGATAGTTTTTAAAACAAAATTCAACAAAATATGTTTTTTTATTTATCAGTTTATTAAAACAAAATGGCGAAAGAAGTCCCTAAAAATAAATATGAGTTTTGACTTTGCCAATTTTCTATTTTTCTTTAAAATATATCTTTTACAACTATAAAATATATTTGACCGATACCGCACCATATTTCGAGGATAAAATTGTATAAAGTAATTTAATATTGTAATTGGCACGTGCAGTCAAAGAAAATTGCCAAAAACCCGTCGACATATGCAAATTGAGCCCTTTCTCTGTTTGTAACGCAGTAGAAATATAGTTATAATGTTCTGCAAATAAGTTTTAAACCGCACATTACAGTGTACATGAAACTATAACTTGGATTTTGAATGTTTTTACCTTTCTTAAAATTTTAGTACATTTCTATCAAGATTTTTAAAAAAAAATATTTTGGCTCACCTGAATTAAGGCATGGAGCTCTAAGTCATGCTGCACACTAAATAATTATTCTCGGAAAAAAGGATTGAACATTTTTTTCCAAATATGTTATTAGTATGAAACATAATAAAGTGGTATCAATGCCTTAAAAACAGTTTTGCTATGTCAAAAAAATCAAGCTGAGTCCTTTAATAAATAAATCCGTTTCAGCAGACCTTAAATTATTTTCTTCCGTAATCAAACAACACTTTTTACATGTAGTTATTGGCAATATAAACAATAGTACACCTGTATTTACCAGTTAATTATATACCCGCTCCGCTTTTGTGGCTCCATGCATGGCCGTTCATATAGTTTGACGTGACGTCATTATCGTTAAACGACATCGCGTTTAATAGCGTTTCATAATAATCCCGTCTATAGAAACCGTTTTGTATAATTTTAATATTTTCAGTTTCTATTTTGTGCATGTGATTAATAGAATATTTTATTTCTGTAGCTTTGTTTCTAAATTAATTCAATTTGTGTTCACTCATTCAATATCCTCTACTAAGTCTTTTTGATATGCATTCATAGTTAACATCTAATATGTTATCAATCCGATCAGTAATAATTTATAGGAAGAATAATTACATAATGTTTAAGAAATAATTTACTTAATTCCTTTACAGGAAGGCAGTTTAAAGCAGTCAGGGCCAGTTGACTGCCTTGAGCTTTTTCAACAAGGCTTTACCGAGGACGATGTGTATGTTATAAAACCAACTGGAAGTACTGCCACTGATGTGTGGTGTGATATGACCAATGGTGGATGGACAGTTATACAATGCCGGCAAGACGGATCTGAAGATTTCTACAGAAATTGGGAAGATTATAAAAATGGATTTGGTGATAGGAGTGGCGAGTATTGGCTCGGGCTTGAAAATATTCATCATTTGACAAAAAGCAATAGCTCTCTTTACTTATACATGGAAACATTCCCAAATGACGATAAGAATCCGTTTTCTGCTTTTGCTGAATATTCAACTTTCAAGATAAATGACGAGAATGATAAATACAAATTGACTATAGGGGGATATCATGGCTCGTGTAGTAATTCCATGTCGTATCATAATAACTGGCAATTTACGACCAAGGATAGTGACAATGACAACTCGACAGGGAACTGTGCAGACCAAAGTGGTGGAGCATGGTGGTACAGGGATTGTCATCGCGCGAATCTTAATGGGCTTTATCTGAACGGGGTTAATACCGAAACCAATCGTGGTATTAACTGGTTTTATTGCTGGGGGAACGAATACTCTCTCAAGAATATTGAAATGAAAGTTAGAAGAGATATGTGATTTTTCTCTTATATTGAATGCGTAAGCTGCTTACATATTCCGTAACTACACGGATATGTTAATAAATAGTTGATTGAATCATTATGTTTCATATCACAAACAATTTATATAAATATGATAGAGTCATCACAATTTTGGAAAAGAGGCATCCCTCGTGAGTAATGAAATCACAAATTATTTCAGATTTTCTTTTTAAAACAATATACTGGGTTTTAACTTAAATTAATCAGCAATGTTTTTCTTCGTAGATTTAAACGAGCGTATTTTTCTGTTTGTTTGTTACATTACAATTTGATCACTAGTTATTTTATATTTCCATAATTATATTGAAATAGATATGTTAGTGTCTATTTAAATGTAGCTTGCTTTCAAATATTGTCTTTTCTCAGTTCGTGTAACGGGCTTGATAACCACTTAGAGTAAAGATTTAATTTCGCATATCATTTTGCCATTTAATATTATCTGTTTTCTTTTAATGGGAACCATAGACGACTTTTCATGTTGCTATTCGACAGTGCTATATATACTGTTTGCTGGCCAACTTCCATGTTTTCTTCATATCCTCAGTAACAGCTCCAAACGCATAAGTCGGACAAGTATATAAATAACACAGGGGTTTGTGGGTTACAGTTAAAGTATCATCCCGTGGAAAATACTGTTATCCGAGGTGTAAGCCGTGGAAAACAGTATTTTTACGAGGAATGATATTTTAAATGTTACTAAAAAAACAATGTTTTGTTTAAATTTGTACCCCAAACAATAACTGTGATGATTTTTATGATGATTTTTTTTAATTAGAAAATAGACAATGTGACAAGATTTCATACTGTTAAAAATACTGATACCCTATAACAGTACAAATTTCATAGTCACGTGGTACTTAGAATCAGTTACAAGCAATACATTTAAGTAAAGAACTTAGAAATGATGGTCGTCTTGTTTGTTTGGTTTAGTTTAATAATATGTTATTGCATGTATACATAGTTTTACATAGACATCAATTCCTTTGTTTCAACATAATTACACAATAAACAAAAGTGTTTGGCCAAAAGTTTTTGCAATATTATCATGGGCTCCTCCCATCAGTTTCATTAAGTAAAGATAGTTCACATTTTAATTTAATATGCATTTTGTTTGTATGCATTTTCATTTTTATACCTGAGCAAAATGATTGAAAAAAGAAGAAGACTTGCTGTATTAAAACATAGTCGGGTCTCGAAACTTCCACCGAACCCTTATACCAATTGTGAAGCGAATACCCATTTGTGAGTACTGAGCAAAAATAACCAAAAATACGTGTTATATTGACTAAAAGTAAAAACGGATTAATAACGATTTCTTAAAACATCTTAGTTTCTTTGATATAATTTTGAACATGCTGAAATAAGAGTTTATTTGAAAGTCATTTTAATTCTCGATGCCAAAGAGAAGCGTTTTAGTACTAAGCGGATGGCATTTACCTTTGTGAAATATACTTTTGACATTGAAATAGGAAATGTTCGGCATCCTCTATTAAAGAATCACATTCGCATGCTGAATGGTAGTGAGATTATTTGTAAATAGGCCAGAATTCAGATTGCTACAAATATTCCTAAACAGCAGATACACGATCACCTTCGATATAAACTGGTGGGACTACGGAGTTTTATATAATGATTTTAAGTTTATTTCTGAATAAAGATAAAGTTTTTGTTCTCTTATATGAGTTTGTAATTCGTTCCAAAGTTTTTTTAGACGATGGAATGAGAGAAATACACATAATTATATCATAAACTTATGTTCTTCTTGCTATTGAAGCATTATTTACATTACTTCGCAACGAATATAATTATGAGGAAACATTTGCGACGATTGTTGAGAGTAAGTGTGATAAGTATATCGGTAAAAGGTGATGTTTTCCTTTATATATCAATTTTTTTTCTCCTTTTGTCTATGATAGCTATCCTTTTTGTTAAAAGATTTTGGATTAAAAATATCTAGTTAGACCTGTTACAACCCTTGCTGCTTCATATTGTAGTTCTTCTAAAGTTTCTTTTTCATATTGTGTACTATTATCCCATGCTTATGACACATATTCGACCCATGGACGAATATACGAAACAAATATATATGTATAAGATAAGAATTGTGAATGTCTCGAGTAGGTCTCAGATACATTTTTTTACTAATTGTCATCTCATAATAGAATTGCTATACCTAGCATCTGTTACAAGAAATACATTCAAGTAAAGAAATTTATAATGTTCGTCGTTTTGTTTGTTTGTTGTTTGTTCGGTTGGCTGATTGGCTGGTTGACTGACTGACTTGTTGGTTGGTTGGTTGGTTGGTTGGTTGGTTGGTTGGTTGAATTGTGCGTTGGTGTGTGTGCAAGCATGCGTTTTGCAATTGTAATTATTTGGAATTTTTTTGTTGGTTGGTTGGTTGATTGGTTGGTTGTTTGATTGATTGGCTGGTTGGCTGGTTGGTTGGATGGTTGGTTGGTTGGTTGGTTGGTTGGTTGGTCGATTAGTGGGTTGTTAGGCGGTGCATGCGTGCGTGTGTGTGTGCGAGTGGCTTTATTGTTGTTGTCGTTTTGGTTGTTGTTTTTCTTTCCTTTATAAAACGCATTTTCTATACTTGTTGTACATTTAATCATGCATTTACTATGTAATGTGATTGACAAGTCCTTTGTTAATACTTTTAAGAAAAAAAGTCTCACTTTATACAATATATATAGTTCTTTGAACAAATGCTTGCAAAGCATGTATCAAATTTCTGTTAATAAAACCTTTCACTGAATATGAAATTGATTGTTTTATTGTTCAAAGCACATGGGATAAAAAGTAACGATAAAACTCTTAAAGTATTGTTTGGCAATATTTGCCTATGACTGAACAATTTTCGGAAGCGTTTTCTTTAGTTTCCCTAATTAATTACGATTAAGCGACTATTGATTTTTAATAAGAGCATATAGTTCTGGATAGATTAACTCATACTTACGGCCCGATTGCCTAATTGTCAGTATGATGGCTTAACAGTCGCGCAGTTTCAAGTTCAAATCCTCGTATTTTTTTTGGTTGTTCTCAAACTAATTCTTTAATCATATACAAATTAAGTGGTAAAAATTGTTTACTTTCTGGTGTCTTTTTTCAAAAATTTGATACAGACATGTATAACTGTGTAATTTGTCATATATTAACTCGCACAGTAGGTGATTTGCATGTCTTAAACATAATACTTGAGTTTTGAAAACTATGAAAAAGAAGATAGAAAAAAAATGTTTAATTTGGATTGTCACCCACAATTTGAAAGTAAAAATCTAAACTCTTCTACACAGATGCATGTGTTGTGTTAGTTACTTTATGTCATAAATAAACCATGTGCACCGTTACGCTGTACTTTAAAATCCGTAACATTTACTTCGGAGTCCAATTATTACCGAATACTCAATTGTTGCTAAACAACACTAAAAAAAACAAAGCTGGGTGGAGCAACATTGATATTGGTACACATATCATACTGGAAGTTCTTTAAATTTAATCTTACAATGGTATTTAATTTATAACATATACTTTCGGTTATCAATAATTAGATGGGGCGTCCGTGTCAGAGTGGTTAAGGTCGTTGACTTCAAACCACTTGCCCCACACCGCTGTTGGTTCGAATCAGACAGGAAATTTAGATTCTTACATGTAAGGAAGCTATCCAGCTAGCTAACGGAAGGTCGGTGGTTCTACTCAAGTACACGTTCGTGCCTGATATATTGCACGGAAGGGCATCTGAGGTCTTTCTCAACCAGTAAAGCTGGCATGTCGCCAAATGACCTATAATGTGTGGGCGTGACGTAAAAGCCAATTAAACAAACCAACAAACAATGATTAAATGCGTATTTGGTAACTGAATGTGGCTGCAATAGTAATTACGTCTGTAAGAAGGCACCTTATGATAGCCATTATATGTCAGTTTTGTAATCGCTTATTGTACGGTGTGATGTACGGGTTAATCAAAATAGTACATTAAAGCGGTTTTAAGTAAGTGAAAACAATAAATTCACCATTGGCTGTAACAGTTATTTAAAAGTGTCTTCTCACAGACGTAGAAACGTACGAAATCCACCAAGGCCGAAACATACACCGGCTAAATCCAGGAAAGTCGCCGAAAAGTACAAATCCTTTGTAAAAACAAACAAAACAAAAACAATACCACAAACAAAATTATAATTTAATAGATTAACCTTGTCTACCGAATGGTTGGTTTCTTTTATGTTTCGTGGATTAACACGCAACTAATACATAGCTGCGTTTGAATTCCGGTATACCTGAGCCATGTACTGATTTACAACTGTCATATAAAATTAGATTAACTATGATTTAGACATTTCCTATGAGTTATCATCAGCTTCGCGTTACCTCATTAACAGTTTTCACGAGAGACTCTGCCTCGAACAACCTTTTTTATCTGAGCGAAATGTCTTCATTTTTGGTTTAAATATAGTTATTTAAGCTCGATTGCTAAACAAGTTCTTGCAACTTATATTAACCACTTTCGAGTTCGCTTCCTGGAACTAGCCAATACTGGTGTCATATAAAGAAACATGGTCGTGACCCGAGTAGCGCTCGAACCCATGATCTGTGGGTTGAGAGGAAGACACCTTAACCACTAGGCCATCAATCCGCGTTAACCATGTTTGTGCTTAATATCTCAACATTGCAATTACTGAAAAGAATTAATTACACGTTCCTTGGTTACCCAATAAATGGTTGCGTTTTGATTTACAAGAAGGAATTGGGTTTAGAATAGTTGACAAGATTTATGCTCCATTATTTTCGATGACAGCTTAGATTTACTCATATAGTTACCACATTGAAACAAACCTTCAATCATGAGATTGATTCTTGTATTTCGGAAGAATGTCGTCTGAGGAAAATTTGTCTTTCTGTAACAATAACAGGAAAAAATGAATAAATGTATGACGTTTATTGGTCATTTTAAAAAAAATTCAAACTGAAATTAGAACATTT